TCGAGACGAGTTACCTTCCCTGGCTATTATTTTCAGCATTCAAGGATAACTGATATCATTCTCTCACCGAAGACGTACTATCGGACATACCTAATGCAAATGCGTAGAGCCCTGCCTACGGCAAAGGAGGCCAAAACGACCAATATGGGCAAGTCAGAGCAGTCCGCGCAATCTACCCACGCTCAGAGTCCGCCGCAAAAGAAGAACTCATGGAAATCCGCGCTTGAGGCTATTCCCGAGAAATTGGAGGTAGGACCGGTCCTTGATAGTGCCCTCTCAAATCCGCCTGTCGCTAAATTCTCACAGATCCCCAAGAACCAAAGCAAGAAGCTAGGCAAGAAGCCGAAACAGAAGGATCCCCTCCACCAATGGATGGTTGATCATTCGAATGGTACTGTAAGAGAACGCTCTTGAGCCTCGAGGGTCATTCGTACGGGACACATCTCCCCCTTGAAGAATGTGACGGAACATAAGTACAAAACTCAGTTTGGGAGAATGCTATTGGGAACGTTGCAAATGGAATCGGAAGTCGGTGGTGTATCTAGACTACCTGCCTGTACCTGTTAATATCATTGATCGCTTTTATGACGTAAAAACTCACCCGAAATATCTCTGAGCCTTTTGAAACGCTGTTAATCGTGCTATCATTGGACATAGTGAATACTTACATGTAGGTACCTACGGTACTATAACTACCAGGTAACTGGTAGATAGTTAGGTAGGTACTCTATGGAATACACGCCAGCACATCCGCTGAGCTTACACGTAATGACCATAAATTCACCAAACGCAGTAAATTCTTCGGCCGCCCCCATTCTACCCTTGGATGACGGGACTCCAACAGCTATTAGGTGTCCGCTCTAATAACCATTGGCAATTTCTCTCTCTGCAACTGTTTGATATCAAGAGTATCACCACAACGTGCCAGTAGATTATTCCAATCTATCAAACCCGTCTCAAAGATGAAATAAAAAATTGGTTAAGAAGGAAGCCCCCTAATCACAGAATAGGGGAACATAGCAGGGGGTAGCGTTGGTCACGTGGGGTAACGGTAGACTCAGCGTCAACTTAAGAAATTTCAACACAACGCCATTAAGTCCGTAAACCGTCTTGATGTAAGGGAAGCCTTGATTTGAGTCGAAAATTATTAGAATTTAGAGGATAGGTAAAGCTCTCAGAATACCGAACAAGGGAACGATCAGACTTCCTATTGATGTTGAGGAATGTAATATTACTCGTGCGATACCGGATTACTAACAGCGGTCCGCGTCATGGCCGGTCTTGGTGCGCTCTTTCACCTACATATGTACCAAGTAAGCCACCAAATTGGCATAATAAGAATTAAGACATACATTTACGACGGGATACTTGGGACACGACGTGCCGAGAAGACGAGGGGGTTTAGAACAGAAAATAAAACGAGAAAACACAAATAACTTGATATGACTTGCAGACTCAAACCACAGGTTTCGAGCGTCACATTTAACCACAAGGGCATCCGACTGGATCCAGGAGACGTGTTATCGGGACTTCGAATCATATACTGTAAGCGCTCAGGCAGAGCTGCGCGGCATTGGCCGATACGTAGTCGGTGAAATCGTGTGCGAGCACGACGAGGAGTTTTACAACTCCACGGTAGTATTCCTTGACGACGCCAATGACGTCGATAGTATTCATATCCGCCGAAACGTGTCTCAAAAGAGACTTCAGAATCTTAGTATACGGAAGCCAGCCGCGCTTCGACTCCAGCACGAGTATGTGTAGTGGTCAGTGGCGTTATGAAAAATTACTTGCAGAAATACCACACCAAGGACGGAAACGGGATACGTCCGAATCCGCACCTAAGATAGGCGACCCAGTAGCGCCTCAGGATGGATGAAAGCTGGCAATACTAGGAGAATGTGCGGGCGGCTTGGAGTCGTTGCATATGTATGTTGTCATGCAGATTCGTGACCGGCCGTCAATTCTGCTGGCTAGACCTATCCTCGTGGCTGTTTATCAAGCTCTCAATTCCCTCACTGGTAGAGTCTCAGAAGAAAAGCGTCATGAACACGAGAGACTTCCTCATCTGCTATCAGAGTAAGTATGGGGTCTGAAGAGTTAGAGCAAGTGGATGTTGCCATCATTGGCGCAGGTAAGAACTCATACGAGAACCATTGAGTCATATCGATACCTAAAACTAGGATGTAATAGGGATTTGCGGTCTTGTGGCAGCCAGATCATATCTTCGCCTACGACCGGAGGCCAACGTCTTGATCCTAGACTCCGACAAGACGGTCGGCGGCGTCTGGAGCAAGGACAGACTGTATCCTACACTGGTGACTCAGACTGGACTCGGGGTACGTATATAGAAGAGTTCACGTCTGCTATCGAATTCGGAGGAATCTCTCGTTAACTCTTCGCAATAATATCATGAGCGATGGAAGGCTAACGCAATGGGATAGCTCTTTAGGTATTCGGACATGCCCATGGCCCCTAAAGCCTGGGAGGGAAGGGGCTCAACAGTAACGGGCTCGATGGTACATGAGTACTTACATAAGTACTCAGAGGAGCACGACTTACTACGCCGTATTAGGTTCAATACCGTCGTGACAAGCGCAAAGCAGTGTGCCCGTGGATGGCGCCTTGAGCTAAGAGACTCAGACGAGATCATCGAGACAGAGAAGCTTATCGTAGCACCCGGCTATGCGTCGATACCTAATATGCCCCAGATCTTGGACGACGCATCAATCCCAGTTATCCATTCCCGGGACTTAGGTGCATCGCTCGATGGCTTGAAGGATGCCCAGAAGGTAATAGTGGTGGGTGCTGCCAAGTCAGGGTTCGATACCGTCTACACGATGCTCAAAATTGGGAAACAAGTTGAGTGGGTGATTCGCCCAGATGGAGCCGGGCCGATGCCTTTCTTAACTGTTAAGGTCGGATTTCTGGTAGCGACGCGCTTCTTCGCGTATATGAACCCCTCAATATTCAATACTCGCGGACCATGGTGGTACGTATGAAACTGTCATGCCTTGTCTCTGTTCCTCGCTTCTTAAATTCCATACTAAAAGACGTTACCATAGTACGTAATTTGGTTTTATTCGGTTTTGGGTCGCGGCGACAAAGACTACGAGCTTCCCCTGACATTAACCTTGAGAAACCTATTAACATGACGTGGTAGACTGGATCCTGCAACGCAACCCACTCGGCCGGTGGTTTGTAGACCGCTTCTGGGACTTCCTGGCCTATGTTAGCGGTGTTGAAGCTGGGTACGGGGTTGGAGACGTATGTCGTGACGAAAATACCCCTTCTTTTGAAGAATGGGTTTCTGATTTTTACTGCAGCATGTGGCCATGCTAAAGCCGGAGCTCAATCATCAAGGGTAGATAATACCGTCCATCCCATCTTGTGATTGTGTATGCTTATAATAGGCTAGCATCTTAGCAGCACCTGCCGCCGTGGGCTTACGTCCCGCTCCCGACTTCTGGCCTACCATACACAGCAAGAATCTTCGTATCGTTCGTGACGCGATCCGGACTATGAAGGAGAAAACAGTCTACTTGAAATCAGAGGCGACGACGACGGCTGATTGTATTATCATGTGCACGGGGTGGGGGGACCACCTCGGCATATTCGACGCCGAACATAAGGCTAAGATTGGGATTCCGGTCCAAAATAGTCGTGACTTAAGTGAGCAAAAGGTTGAGCGGTCTGACTTGATAGATTGGCCTCGTTATGACGAGGCGGCCGACAAGGCCGTCGACGCGAAACTGCCTTCTGTGGCAAGACCGCCGAAACATCCCGAGCTACTGGACCCCCGGCTCCAGAAGAAGTGGCGGCTCTGGAAGCGCGTCGTCCCCGTGGAGCTTGCAGCACAGGGCGACCGGTCGCTAGTGCTCCTGGGCCAGATGACAACTGCGTATACACCGGTAATGGCTGAAGTGCAGGCATTCTGGGCTGTTGTGTATCTGCTGGGCGATCTCGAGGTGCCGGATGTGTCGACCATGGCGACCGAGGTTGCAGAGTTCAATGCCTATACCCGGAAGCGGTATTTCAACCAAGGGCAGAGGTCTCAGTACGGCTTATGGGACCACCGATTCGTAAGTTCCCCCTCCCCCAGCGATATTATTTGCATCTGCTTAAATTAACCCATGGAGAAGTATATCGATAACCTCTTTAGCGACTTGGGGCTCAACAGTCGCCGTAAGTCGAACGCTATCAGCGAGCTCTTCAGTCCTTATAAGGCCTCGGACTTCAATGGGTTCGTTGACGAGTACCTGGGAAAAAAGAAGAACTGAAACGAGATGATCGTAGGCCATGATCTTTAAGACGAGGTCTATACATCCGAAATATCTCCCCACCTGAGATTGAATACCGTATTATGAAAGCAAGCGGCCGGAAGGATTTCTAAAAAGTCAAGCGAGTTAATCTTAATGCTCATACTTATTCCAAGTCTACTCATAAAGACATCAAATTATAAAATACTTGAAACACTGACAGGCATTATCGCGACGTGTTGAAGTCGTAGATGATTGCGTGTAGATATTCGATCGATATAAGTGCTCCTGTCGCTTCACCTGACTTTCAACTACCGGAGTCTTTAGGGGCATCCAATTGGACGGATCGAAGCAGTTCCTAAGAAACTGAGCAGAGCAAAGCTTGCATAAGGGTTAACTGTTTGAAGAGCGACTAATGCTTGAGTTTGCTCAAAATCCGTTTCTAGGCGTAACATGCCTCTGGCTGATTCTGGCTGGAAAGTCAGTAATTGATCAATGTACTAAGCCCACACATGATACAGCCACTTAGCTAATTCAGTATACTGTATAACTCGAACTCGGTCTATGTAACTTGGGCGGCTGTGAAATCGAGAACGTAGATCTAGGGGGAATGACGACGCTGCCACTTAAGGCATACTTGAGTTACGTAATAACTCACAAACGGAGCTCCGGACAATAAGTGAATCCACAATCAGCGCTATAGGTTCTACCTTATATACCTAAATAAGAACCGTCCAATCAGTCTTGGTGGCTCAGTTGGTTAGAGCGTTGGTCTCATATCTTATATGTGACCCAACTAAACATTGGGATATCCAAAGGTCGTGAGTTCGAGTCTCACCCAGGACATCACTTTTTGCGTTTTTGATGTTCGGTCCTTATTCTAATTTCTTTTTATCAGTTCACCATTGTGAAATAGATCCTAGGAGTGCATAATCCGTATGCCGCTGACGTTCTGGCCTTCGTGACTAAAATCAGGGGCTTCGTTATTTCAAAATTTGTCTTATGAAGTCAGTGTCATCTGGGTGGCGTTGGTAAACGTACGCTAAAAGGAGAGAAGAGCGATCCAGCAACCCCTAATATGTCGAGTACGCTGAAATATGTACAGAGGATGTATTTAACTGATGGGCTGGTGTGTGTTTGCCACAAAGAATGGATCGGGTGGAATTATCGTGCGTGTTCTCTTATAGCATTGCTAGGTTAGAGGAAATCCGAGATTTTCGAGCTGATGCTGACCCGAGGAGATATGGGACCTATAGCAATAAAACATTCACTTAGCATAGGCTACGGCTTTGGCTATTGAGATAAGTAGGGACGTCTTAAACGTCTTGTTAAGTCCATTCAATAAGTGTCAATTCGCTCTTCCAGACAATCCGCGAATAGTATAACGCTGTCCTAAACGCCCCGATCCTATGCCGAGATTTCCCAATGCAAATGAGTAAGTATACATGACGACGTAGAACACCAAACTGCAAGCCTCGCTATACCATGAAGATTTATTTTATACCATATTATCGCATGCCCCCAAATGCGCGGTCCAACTCCTCGCCCTGGTCCACCGCCATCTCGCTAATGACAGCGGCACCATGGGCGTGGGGATGGCCGTAGCCACCACGATCCTCAAAGCTCATCTCCGCAAACTGGCCCGCAACCTCAGCCTCCGCCATCTCAAGGCTCGAACCGGGCCTGCGCTCAGGTTGCAGTAGGTGAGTCTCGCTATCAAGCCAGCCAGGGGCGACGCGCCGCTTCTCGGCTAGCTCGCGGGCCTTGATGCGTTCCTCGAGTTCGCGTAGCAGGCGCTCGGATTCTTCCTGCATGCGCGTGATGTGCGCTTGTAGCGCCTTGCATGAGGCTACGATGTCATCGGGGTGCGCTGCGTGTCCTGACTGCGCTACTACGTATTTCACCTTCTCGTCGCTGGCGCCTGTTACGCCACTCGCAGGTATAGGGAGCGTCGATGGCATCGTCTTGTAGGTATAAGGTAGTGTGGCAGCGGTCGGGAGCGAGACAAATGGCGATACGGTCAGAGGGACCTGCGCTAGGAGCGGATGTGTGCCTGTGTCGATTGTGTTAGTAAAGGGGCATGTAGAGGGAGAAGGGGGAGATAGGTGGATGCTTACGATCGTCGCGCATTGTGACCATTGCGCAATGGAGGATATTTTACAATAGATATAATACAACGAGATGGATTCGACCCAACATTAGTAACCCCAATCGCGATGCGACATGTGCGACGTCCAGATGAATTGGTTGTATGATGATAGTCGCTGACTTGACTCGATGATAGAGTGCGGGACGAAGGTTTTGAGAGAGCGCTAAATCCTAAGCTACAGGGTACCTGCTATGTAATACAGCGCTCAACCTTGAAGCTTCCAGCTAGAAGGCGCCGTACGTCAGATATCGATAAGAAAGATACGACGCAACGATAAGCCCCTCCAGAGTCCAAGCTCTACAGTAGCTACTGTACGTCGGAATTTCTCAGCTACACAAAGTTATCAAACACTTCGCAACTTTAGAGCCACTGTGCAGTCCTTCATTCATTTTGAATTGAACGACAATCACCTTTACTTTTTCTTATATAAAAAGACTCTTCATAAAATATAAATTCTCGTCCTAAATAGTTAATTTGACATAAGTTACGACAGCCATGCTGCCTCCCACAGTCATCAGGACCTGCCCTTCGGCGGACAACGACTTCCAGCCCTTGAGTGAATACCAAGAACAAACACCGGATACCTTTTTTGATGGGAAGCCCGTGCTGTACTATCATGATGAGAACGTCAAGGCATGGGTCTCAGCGGAGCAACATGACCAACTATTCTTCTTTTCGAAGACCCCAGAGGATGGCGGTGCCCCCCTAAACCCTAGTCCGTCCCCGAATCCTACTCCGCCTGAGTGTTACGCCCTTGAGAACAACTGGGGAAAGCATATTCGCGAGGAGAAAGTTGAGGCATTCGTCACATCCAAGTAAGTACTGCCTGATTTTGGATATGAATATACATGAGCTAAACGTATTCTATAGCAAGTTGATTCTTTTCTCTCACCAGACTGGAACTGGTATTGAAATCCCATATCCGGCCATCACACTTCATGCTGTCAAGAGCTTCGAACACGTGGACAAGCCCGAAGATTCTTCGACTCGTTTTATTGGTGTTTACATGCAGCTTGAGTTCGCGAGGTCAGGTGACGATGACGATGAGATGTCGGGCCCAATTGAGCTCACCCTCATTCCGTTTAAGAAGCAAGACTCCACGGGAACTCCTATCGTCGACCCTTTGAACACCGAGCGAACTACCGCGCTTTTCAACCAAATATCAGCGTGCTCAAATCTTCATCCCGATCCCGAGGAGGACGAGGAGGAAGATGAAGAGCAGGAAGCTTTTGACCGCATTGTCTTCGAGGGTGACGCCATAGAAGGACTGCCTGGAGTTTTCCAAGGGGAGGCTAACGGTGGACTACCACCTCCGATGCCGGGAAGCTCTGGGTGGATTACCGCGGATAACGTCCAGGAGTACTTCGACGAGGAAGGCAACTGGATCGGGCCAGATGGTGTGAGTGGTGAGCTCGGAGACGGTGCAGGCCACGTACGAGGACATGATGAGATGGTGGGGGATGACTCGAACGGAGTAGAGGACGGCGATGATAACGATACGAAACGGCCACGAAATGAGTAAGGAGCTGTGGATAAAAACCTAAGTTCTATTTCACAGGCCTATACGTCGTCAGCGGATTCCGTCTTCAGAAACAATTATAAGGTGCATCGACATCGTGGATGCCCGAAGACATGTACCACAATTTCGTACGTATAGTCCCAAAGGTTAGAAGGAACTTCTGGTAAGCCCAGTTACCCTATCTTCTAATCAAACTGAAATCCGTTGACTCCCGATCAGCTCTTAATAGATACCCGAATCTCGTCACTAAATAAAACTTGCGAGCTTCATTTCCATAACAAAAGGCTGACGTCCGAGGTGTGCATGAAATCCCAGAATATTCATTGACTAACTCCAGTTCCCAAAGTTATTAGCTATAATATCGAAGGGATTATAATATTGGAATGTCCTGGCCCTGCCTAGCTAATAGGATATACAGCGAAGGATAAGATAGATATCAGCAAGCTGTCTACACGACAGAAGAAAAATACGCTCGTCCTAGAATGGTGGTGGTAATGGTGGTAATACACAACCGCTTCACTCCGGCTGCCCCTTCAGAAACCCGTCATTGTCATACAAACTCTCAACGCTCGACCGCTTGACGTGTGTTGTCTCCTCACGCTTCAACTTCGCTGCCTGCGTCACCAGCTGCCCCGTCTGCTTCGCCTCATTGCTCGCCCTCTTCCCCTCCAATCCCTGCAGCACCACCGTACTCCGTCGCGCCCGTCCAACACTCCCTCTCTTCAGGGGGCTATTCGGCGTCGTCCGCGTGCCCGTACCCGCCTCAGCAATTGAACCACCCCCATTCATGCTACCCTGCGAGAACCGGCCACTCCCTCGCAACCCCCCTCCTAGCGCGAGATAGTTCTTCACGCCACCGCTCTGCCGCCCGGGACTAAAGCCTCCACCCCGCATCACGGGTAAAGTGGGACTAGCTACGCTCTGGTCGCTGACGATGCTGAGCGTGCTGTTCATGCGCCGCAGCTCCGTGATCGTGTTCGACATGCGCACGCTCTTGCTGCGCTTCACCACCGTCGGCGCGCGGAGCGGGGGGACTTGGTCTTCGCTGCTATCAACAATATTGTTATTGTTAGTAGCAGTGACCGTGGCCGTAGTGTCCTGCGAGTACACCGATCCGTCAGACGGCATGCTGCGCCGCGGAGGCGGCGGCGATGTGGGGTGCCAGGCTATGAACTCGTAGTTCTTATGCAGCTGTCGCGGGTCGATGGTTCCGTCTCCGGCTTGCTTGGGCGAGCTGGGCTGGTTGTAATCCGGGATGCGGAAGCCCACGCGCGAGGCCCGGCCTCCCGAGCCGGAGCGGCTGTGGGATAGCTTTATGGGGGACATGTCGGAGACTTTTTCCGGGCTGTCCGTTCCGGCTTCGCTGTACGTGTAGCTGTCGTATACGGAGGAGAGCCCGGCTTCGGAGATGGCGGGGCTGGGGGCGCGCTTGAAGCCGGAGGTTGGCGAGTTGAGGATTGTTCGCGGGGAGGGCATCACGTGTCTCCGTGTTGGCGATGGTGTTGGTGTTTGGACTGATTCACCCGTGCCCGTAGTGTGTTTCGGGCTTGACTCTCCGCTGTGTAGACTCATTGGGAGAGGGGAGAACACTTTTGATAGGCGGGCGGGGTTCTTGGGTGTTATGGCCGCAGTGAACGGGTCGTCGTTCTCCGTTGGTGCGTGAACCGCAAATGACGATCTGCTTTTGGATGGGACTACGGATTCTCTGTCCTGACGCGAGGCTGGTCGGGAGGGTATGAAGGCTCCGGGTGGTGCCATCCCTAAGGTTCCCCTTCGGATCTGCAAAGGCGGCGGTACCTCATCTTCGTTTAATCGAAACTTGGAGTTTTCCTTTGCATCTACCGCCGGGCCGAGGTTTGCGCTAAATACCCCAAATGCAGAGAGGACTTTCTCAGGCGTTCTGTTCGGATTGCCGTTGGGTTTCATGTCGTTTGGTGGGGGGCTGAGGATTGACGTCTCTTCCATGCTGTACAACGTCGATAGGGCAGAGGATAAGGTGCTCCCATTCGAGAATGGACGCCCTTCTTGCTCCGGCCCTTGCGGGCTAGGGGTAGGTTCTGCCGATCTTGTTGCGCGGCTCGGGCTGGATAGGGCGGTTCGCACTTCCGAAAGGGACTCCCTCTTAGACGCAACTAGACTATCTGCCTCTGATATCATCGACACCTGTGACATACGCAA